GCCAGAGGCAGGACTGTTGTCAGCTTGACCTTCAGCCCAGGTGCCAGGGGGTGGGTTTTGCTATTTAAATCCAGCCAACCACCAGGAAAGAATATGACTCAGGCCCACCCAAGAATACGCATAATCTCCTTTGTCTTGACCTTTAGTAAAACTTCCTGGTTTTTGCTGTATAAAATAAACACGCTGTATTGGCTCTGGGTCCCTGTCTCTCCATCAGAGGACAGTGGTCTCATCAAGCCCCAGCTTTTTCCTTCCATCTCTGTGTCTGTCTCTTTCATTTTCTCAATCCCCAGCAGCCCCTACTCAGGAACCGGACCACTCTCTAGCTGCGCTGGACACGGAAAAGAGAGAAATATTCACACAGTACATTAAAAAAAAAAGGAATATATATAAACAAATGGAAGAATATACCATGTTCATGGATTAGTAAAATCAACAACATTAAAATGTCCCGATTATCCAAAGCAATCTAGATTCAATGCAATCCCTATTAAAATACAAAAGGCTTATCTCACAGACCTAGAAGACTCCAAAACTTAATATGGGACCAAAAAAGACCCCGAATAGCTGCAGCAATCTTGAGAAAGAAGAACAAAGTTGGAGGAATCACAATACCAGGTATCAAAAAAAGCCTGGTATTAGCACAAGAATAGGCATACAGAACAATGGAACAGAACAAAGAACCTAGAAATCGACCTAAGCCTTTATGCTCAATTAATATTTGACAGAGGAGGCAAAAGCATACATTGGAGCACAGTTTCTTCAATAAATGGTGTTGGGAAAATTGGGTAGATACATACAAAAATATGAAACTAGACCACCAACTTACACCATACAGAAGAATAAACTCAAAATGGATAAAAGGCTTAAATGTAAGTCGTGAAACCATAAAAGACCTAGAAGAAACTATAGGCAGCAAAATCTCAGACATCCTTCATAGTGATGTTTATGGATACATCTCCTATGACAATGAAAATGAAGGAGAAAATAAACAAATGGAATTACATGAAAATAAAAAGCTTCTGCACAGCAAAAGAAACCATCATCAAAATAACGAGAGTCCACCACATCGGAGAACATATTTGGCAATGAAACATCTGATAATGGGTTAATCTCCAAAATATACAGGGAACTCATACAACCTAACAAAATTAAGACAAATAATCCAATTAAAAAATGGGCAAAGGACCTAAACAGACACTTCTCCAAAGTGGACATACAGAAAGCAAAGAAACATATGAAAAAATGCTCAAAGTCACTAATCATCCGAGAAATGTAAATTAAAACGAGATATAATTTCACACCTGTCAAAATGGCTATCATCAACAAATCAACAAAAGACAAGTATTGGCGTGGTTGTAGAGAAAAGGGAACCCTCATGCACTGCTGGTGGGAATGCAGACTGGTACAGCCACTGTGAAACAGTATGAAGTTTCCTCAAAACATTAAAAATGGAACTCCCATTTGACCCACTGATCCCACTTCTAGGAATAAATCCTAAGAAACCTGAAACACTCATCAGAAAGAATATATGCACCCCTATGTTCATAGCAGCATAATTTACAATAGCTAAGACTTGGAACAGCATAAGTGCCCATCAGTAGATGAGTAGATAAAAAAAACTATGGTACATTTACACAATGGACTATGCAGCAATAAGAAAGAACTCTTACCATTTACAACAGCATGGATGGACCTGGAGAGTATTATGCTGAGCAAAATAAGCCAGTCAGAGAAAGATAAGTATCACATGATCTCACTCATATGTAGAATCTAATGAACCAAATAAACTGATGATCAAAAGTAGACCCAGAGTCACAGAAGCATGAACAAACTGTTGAACCTCAGAGGAAAGTCAGGGGAGGGTGGGGAGGAAGAGATCAACCAGCATGTTGATCAAAATTAAAGAATGTAAAGGTGAAAATGTAGGTTAGAATTAGGACAAGAATGTCTTTAGCCATTTTCATTAGAAAACACTTATTTATCCAAGACCCAAGTAAAAATGTCAATTCCTCTTTAAAGGATGTATTCTAACTCTTTTTTAAAATATATATATATATATATGTGTATATATATATATATATATATATATATATATATATATATATATATTATTGATTTTTTTACAAAGAGGAAGGGAGAGGGATAGAGAGTTAGAAACATCGATGAGAGAGAAACATCGATCAGCTTCCTCCTGCATACCTCCTACTGGGGATGTGCCCACAACCAAGGTACATGCCCCTGACCAGAATCGAATCTGGGACCTTTCAGTCCGCAAGCTGACGCTCTATCCACTGAGCCAATCCGGTTAGGGCCATTCTAACTCTTGAAGGCAATTATCACTCTTCTGTATTGCCACCCACCCATTTCCTCTCTTCATGTCTAACTCCCAGAGATTACTTATTCATCACAAAATCCACATTTTCCATGAACCACCATCTTGGTTCAAACACAGTTCCTAACACATAAGCAGCATACAAAATGTATTTGTTCAATCAACTATAGTAGAGTAAAATGAGACGGAAGATCCATAGACTGAAAAACTCAACATTATAAAGATATCAATTCTCCCTAAATTGATCTATAGGTTAAAGTAATTCCTATCAAAATCCTAGGTAGGTATTTATTCTATAGACAAAGACAAGCTTATTCTAAAATTTATATGGGAAGGCACAGGCTCTAGAATAGCTAATATAATCTTGACAAAGAATAAAATGGAAATAATCACTCTACCTGATGTTTAGGCTTACTATGTAGATACGATGAGTCAAGACCACATGATATTGGTGAAGAGATAGACATACGTCAATGAAATAAAACAGAGACCCTAGCAAGAGACCCACTCAAATATGCCCCACTGATTTCTGACAAAAGTGAAAAAGTAATTCAATGGAAGAAGCACAGTTTTTTCAACAAATGGTGCTATAGCAACTGGATATCCATAGGCCATGCACACAAAAAGTTAACTCAAAATGGATCATAAACTTAAATGTAAAACATAAAACTACCAAATTTTTAGAAAAAAATTTTTTTTTAAAATCTAGTGCTAAGTAGACTTCTAACCTAAAAGCACACTCTAATATAAGGAAAGATTGACAAACTGGACCTAACCAATGAAAAACTTTGTTCTGCAAAAGACCACATAAAGAGGCTGCAAAAGACCACATAAAGAGGCTGAAAGACAAACTACAGACTGGAAGAAAATATTTGAGAACCACATATCTGACAAAGAAGTAGTACCTAAACTACATAAAGAATTTATAAAACTCCACAGTAAAGAAACAAACAATCCAATAAGAAAATAGGCAAAATACATGTATAGACATTTTACTGAAGAGGATATAAAGATGGCAAATAAACAACACTAGCCATCAGGCAAATGCAAATTAAAACTGCAATGAGATACTACTACTTAGCTGTATTGAGGATGCATAGCAATCCTATCCTATATAATAAAACCCTAATATGCAAATCAACCGAATGGCAGAAGGACCTGCGGAATGCTGTCACTATGATATGCACTGACTACCAGGGAGCAGACACTCAATGCAGGAGCTGCCCCCTAGTGGTCAGTGCACTCCCACAGGGAGAGCACTGCTCAGCCAGAAGCTGGGCTTAGAGCTGGCGAACGCAGCGGCGGTGGCAGGAGCTTCTTCCGCCTCTGCTGCAGGCAGGCAGTAAGGAGCGAGGGGAACTGGGCTGCGAGAGTCCCAGACTGTGGGAGGGTGCAGGCCGGGCTGAGGGACCCTCCACCCCAGTAGGCCTCAAGTTGTTATACAAAAGAAAACCACAATGAGAAATGACCACTACAATGTTTAAAATACAATACACAGCCGAAACCGGTTTGGCTCAGTGGATAGAGCGTCTGCCTGCGGACTGAAGGGTCCCAGGTTCGATTCCGGTCAATGGCATGTACCTGGATTGCGGGCACATCCCCAGTAGGAGATGTGCAGGAGGCAGCTGATCGATGTTTCTCTCTCATCGATGTTTCTAACTCTCTATCTCTCTCCCTTCCTCTCTGTGAAAAAATCAATAAAATATATATATATATAAAAAAAATACAATACACAAACACTGTGGATGCACAGAAACTGGATCACTCGAATTGCTAATGGGAATATAAAATAGTATAGCCACTTAAGAAAGTTTGTCAATTTCTTTAAAAAAAAAAGTGAACATGCAACCACCATGACCCAGCAATTGCACTCTTAAGTACACAAGTGTTCACAGCCAAAACCAGGATATAACCCAGATGTTCATAAACAGGTGAATGATTAACAAATTGTGGAATACCCAAAGGATATAAGACAATTCAGCAATAAAAACAAAACAAAACCTGGAAACCAAGATGGCAGCATATGTAAACACCTGAAATTGCTGCCTCGCACAACAACTTCAAAAACACAACTAAAAGACAAAACGGACATCATCCAGAAACACAGGAAGGCTGGCTGAGTGGAAATTCTACAACCAGAAGTAAAGAAAAGCACACTGAGACGCAGAGGAGGTGCGGAAGTAAAGTGCAGAGGTACGGAGGCGCGTGCAGAAAGGGCTGGCAACTGAGGAGGTGGGTGTCTTTTTCAATTGGGAGGGAGACACAAGCTCCCAACGGCCCTGACTCCAGTTCCGGGCGAGTCTCTGGGGACCCAGACTCATACACGGAGAAACTGGACTGTCTGGCAGCGGGCAGAAATCAGAACTCGAGGACAGCTTTCTCAGAGGTATAGGTGGAATAGCAGTAAAAGTGACGGAGTACCTAACCAAAGGATTTTACTTTTATCATTTTTATATACAAGACTAGAGGCCCGATGCACAAAAATTCGTGCAAGAGTAGGCTTTCTTTCCCCTGGCTGTGGGCACCGGCTTCCTCCGGTCTAATTACCATATTACCCTTTTATTATTACAGATAATTATTATTATAGATAATTTTTAAAAAGTCACTCTCAATCCTAATAATAATGCATGCCAAAAGAGTACCTAAAAAGTAAAAAGTACTCAACCTGTATATCCATTAACATAGATGGCAACTCCACTAAAAATTGTAGATGAAGTTCCATCCTTCTGCATTTCAGCATCTGATCGAAACTGTTCCTCCAATTTCTGGACCTTGGCAGCCATATATCCACCCTAGAATTAAAGAAAAGGTAAACACTAATCACAAAAGTTATACTTTTACCCCCTTACCCCTTTTCTTAAAGAAACTTCTATTTAAAAAGACTTTATTCTGTGCCAATGACCAAAGTATAATGATGACAAAGGTGTAATGCTAAACATGAACCAGAGGCAAGGCAATAAAACAGGCAGGTCAAAAGAGACTTTTCCCTCTTTTGACTCTATTTTTAATAATTCTTTAACATTTTTATAATAAGTTATTTCAAAATATTAAACAAAAATAAGAATATGTAAAATGTCAGAAATAATAAATTTAATGCCACAAAATATTGTTCTTATCTATAAAATCAAGCAAAAGTTACATCAAAGTTTAAACCAATTAAAATTTAACATGTGGTCAATAAGTGTATATTTTAAATGGGCTTCCACTATCTTCTGTATATAGAAAGCTTAAAAAAACTTCATGTAAAATGAAGCAGCTTGAAAAAACAGTATAGTCCTCTATACATGTAGATAAGAATACAATAAAGAATTCGGTGACTAAATTCTGGATCTAATCAATCTATGACAAATTTTTATTAGATAACAGGAACCTAAAAAAAGAATATAAAAACATTATCATTTTTCCTACAGACATTTACAAATCTAAAAAGCATGCCTGAATTCAGCTACATTTCCCCCAAATATTTAAATAATTAAGCTTAATTGATTTAAATTATCAATTAAGTTTTTATTGATTTATCTAGATCAATTAAGAGTATCAATTAGGTCTTTAAAAAAGTAGTACACATTTTTTTCAAAATGCAAATGACTTCATTGTTTTTGATTATTCAAATATTGAATGCTCACTGCCAATTTTTTAAATATAAAGAAGAAACTTTAAATTAGCTATGATCCCATTCATTGTTAACATTTTAGGATATTATTTTCAAAGTTTATATCTATGCCTCAGAGCATAGCAGCTTTACAAAAACAGAATCATATATATCAATATTCCTTTATAACACAACACCCTTTTAAGTCAAGACCATCTGCCAGTTTAAAAAATATAAAGCTAAATAATGGCTGCAGTGTTTCACTGTATAAAAATAATTTATTTAACTAACTCCCTATTCTTGGATAGCTAAGTTTTCCTGTTTCTCAGTATTATTAGCAATGCTGCAATAAAATTATCACACAATAAATTGTGTGCGCTATAATATTTATTTCTCAGGATAAAATTCCTGCAAGTTTAGGGGTTCAAGTTGAGCTTTCTACACATTGTGAAAACTCAGAGTTGATATCTAAAGTGATTTATAATTTAGAAAATGGCTTAAATCACATTATAAGCTATAAAAAGAATGAAAAATATCTAGACAGTTCAATATAATTTTTATTCTTTTAAAACACACCCATTTTCCCCAGCCATCATTTTCAGCTCGCCTCCTCCATCCACCTCGTCTCATGGTGGAGTTTCTGTATTAGGGAGAAAAAATAAAATCAATCTTATAACATAATATACTAATTGATATTTTACTTCAGTATCAAGAAAAATAAAAAATTAAAATACAAATGTTTAATTCATAAAAGTTGAAAGTATAATACCAAGTGAAGAAAGTTTTTCCAAATTTTCACAAGTGACATTTGTTCCTAAAAACACCCTCCTACAGGTGAGTATCAGGTTTTAATTACAAGTACTTTAAATTTAAACAGGAAAACCTTTTAGACATTCCTGATCAACAATCCCAACACCTACTTATGTAAAACATCACCAAATCTGACTAACATGGTCGTGATTACTTGTTAAGGATTAATCAGTGTTAACAGAACCTAAGAAAACACATTCCTTTATGAAATGACCTATAGTATGGCTCTTAAACTCTGTCTTTGCTATTGTATACTGGGCACTTAAGAGTGCACTCACAGTGTAATTCATCTATTACGCAAAAAGCCCTTTAAAAAAATCAAGTAAAATAACACACCTACTAAAGCAGTGATTTTCAAGTGTGCCACACACAAAAGAAATTTTTTTAATCATCACCGGAGGACATGCTTAGAGAGGAAGGAAGAAAGGGAGGGAGGGGGATAGAGACAGAGAAAGAGAAGCATTGATAAGAGAAAGAAACCTCAATGTTTTGCCTTCCACACATGCCCTGACCAGGAACAAACTGGCAACCTTTCAGTGCACAGGACAACACTTCAGTTATTACTTCTCTCAAGATGAGGCCAACCAACTGAGCCATTCCAGTCAGGCCACAAGAATTTTTAAAACATGCAATAGCTGACTATTTAGTCAGGGGCACTCACCTCTTTTCCCTTAGATTGTCAAATTAAAAAACGACAATGGCCAACACAATAGCTGTCTGGTGTGAATGAATCAAAGTTATACCTATTTTTATAGTTACACTGGCAAAATATGTATTGTTTGGTATGCCATAGAATTTTGGTAATTAGTTTATGTGTGCCATGAGATGAAAAGGTTGAAAAGTGCTGATCTAGGGATTTGACGCAGAAAGATTACACTGATAAACTAGGAAATCTGGCATTTTCCTTAAGCAAACACTTGACCATCTGTACTATAAAATTACCAAAATGACCAAATGATAGCTCAGTGGCTAGCAAGGTATAAAATGACTCCTAAGCCTGGCTGTTGTGGCTCAGTGGTTGAGCATCAACCCATGCACCAAGAGGTCACTGGTTCAATTCCCAGTCAGGGCACATGCCTGGGTTGCAGGCTGGATCCCCAGAAGAGGGCATGTAGGAGGCAGTCAATTGATGTTTCTCTCTTATCGATGTTTCTCTCTTATTGATGTTTCTCTCTTATCGATGTTTCTATCTCACCCTCTAAAATTCAATAAAAAACATTTTTAAAATATTTAAAAAATAATAAAATGACTTCTACATCAAAACATAAGGCTAACCCTAAATGGCTACATCTTGAGACATGACTGCATTATCCTTCATAAAATTAACATGATTTCCATTTAGGCATTATTTTCTTCTAGTAACTATATGTAGGTTAATATCAAATGGTTCCCCTATGTTACTGGAGAAGCCTTATACATTATCCAAGTCAAATCAGCTTTGATATGGTTTTTAAGGTTTTGTTATTGAGTAACATCTTAGAACATGACAGCATATATTTTCTTTCAAATATTTCTATTCTTGGTATATTGTGGGATGTAGTTTCTCCTTTCTGACATTTATGTTAATTATAAATTTTTACTGTCAACCTTTGAAGGGTGTCTAAAAGATGTGTGGAGATATGCTCAAAGAGTTAAGTCCAACAGAGCAACAAAGTGCAAAGTGATTAACTCTGATTAGGGGCTGCTGGTGCTGAGGGAGAAGAGTTTTGTTTTTTCAAGTTTGAGAAAGGCAGGGCATGGCTACCCAAGGTTCATCATGAGTCTCAGAACTGCCATATTTGCTTTGCTGAATACTTGTTTTCGCGAGGCTTACTTTGTCCAGTCCCTCAAGATTTTCCCCCTTATCTTAAAGGAGTCTTGGGAAATTTGTTAACACACAGTCCTTGACTTCATATAACCTGAATCCATATATCTGCTCTAACAAGTAAAGAGAGTTTGGGAGTTCTGGCTATTAGATTAAGGATGTATACCCACAAAAAGTAAATGCAACAATCTGATAAATGAGGCAAATTTTAAAAATACAATATATTTTTAGTTTAATTCATTTGCCCAATCATTTAAGAGCCTCTTATTTAAGAGGTATTGTGTATCCACTAAGAAAAGCCAATATGAAAATCCTTACTGATGGGTTAATGAGGATAGACAAGTACAAAACAAAGCTGCAATAAAAAAACAAAAACAACAAACACATTTTAAAGGTTCTTTACCCATTCCAGAGTAATATAACTATCCCAGACAAATGTTTAAAGCTTCGAAAAGTAAAAGAAATGAGAATAAAGGAATTAAAATTGTAATTTCATCATTTCCACTAATTTAACCCATGTACAGCAAACTCCTAGTGGTCCAGGATTCAAAGAATAAGACCCCAAAAAAGGGAAAAGGAAACAAGAAGCATATTTCATTTTATACATTCAAATTCAACTTGAGAAAATTCCATAACAAATAGTAAACTAAACAATATGGACCAAACTTCCTGCTGAGGAAGAGGAAAGCTACACAAAACATTGATTTTAAAAAATTGCCTCAAGGCATACAAGGTCCAGCAAATAATGAATTACTGGGCCAAGATTTAGAAGATGACAGAGAGGACTCCTGCCAGCTCATGTTACCTTTCCCCACACAAACTGGGACAGCTTTTCTCGCTGAGGGCATTTGGCAACTCTAGAAGAGTGGCTGAGAAGATGGACAATGTTTTTGAAAACAAAAATCACAGTATTAAGCGAACAGAAGTTGCAGTTCAAAGGTCTTCCAAGGATATAAATCTGCACACTTGGGATGAAGACCCTAAGAGTAAGAGTAAGCTGAAAGTAGGCAGACCATACTTTGCAGAACATGTATCCTGCCCAGATTATTTGTCTCTGAAAGCAAATTAAGGTGATTTTGGATTGTTAGTGCCGGAGTATCTGGTGAAGCAAATGTAAATCCTCAGTGGAGAACATCCTAAACTCCACATACTTGTACAATCTTGCAAATATAATGTCTGGCACACAAACAAAACTAACCAGGCACACAAGATCACACGAGTGAGAACCAACAGCAACAACAAAATAAACAGATCCACAGACACTTCAGATCCTGAATTTAACAAAGACAAGTATCAGAATATGGGTAAAAAACTGGGAAGTATACAAAGTAGTAATTAAATGCTAACTCTAGAATTGAAACATACCAGAAGTAGATGGGCAAATTAATAAATAAAAGCAAATAAAGAACAGTTGAAAATAAGTAACAAGAAAAGATCCAGATAAAGGAGTAACAGACACAAAATGATAGAAAACATGGGAGGGAAAAAGATAAAGGATATTTAAGAAGGTCTAACTTAAGTAAATTTGGGAGGGAAAAAAATAAGAAAAACAAGTTATATTTGAAGAAATAATGGCTAAATCATTCTAAAACTGATTAAAGATATCAAGCCACAAATACGAGAAATCCAGGGGGGGAAAAAAGACATCTATATTTAGATATATACTAGAAGTATGGAAAACTAAAGACAAAAATATATACATTGAAAGGTGACATGAGTAGGGAGAACAGAGTGATTCCATTCAAAATACACAAAAGAACAAATTAACAGACAGCCATCTTTCCAATAGAAACTAAAAGAGTTAGAAGACAACAGTTCTGGGGAGAAAAAATCATTAACTTAGAATTCTATACCCAGAAAAAATCAGTTAAGAATAGAATAAAGGCATTTCAGGCAAATAAAACAGAAGCTAATGGCATTAGCAAACTTGCACTGAAGGAAACCCAAAAGGATATCCCTCAGGTGAAAGGTAAATTCTCTTACAGAAAAAGAAAAGGCAAACAGTAAATATCTGGATAAATCAATGTTAAACAATGACTGGATAAAAATACAATACTGGCAATCAGCTGTTTGTAGCATTAATATATAGCTTAAGTGAATCCAAAGATTATGAAAAAGAGGAACTGTTTCTAGTCAAGGCTCTGTCACTAACTGGTTTCACTGATCTCTGGGAAATCTTAATTTCTTGGATCACAATTACTGTCACCTGGGTCTCTTACTATAAGAGGTTAGAACAGTTGACTACTGGAGTTCTGTTAACTTAAAAAACAGGTAAACTAAGGAAAGCTCAAATTACCATAAACTGAGTTTATTTGGAAACTAGTGGCCTGGTGCATGAAATTCATGCACATTAAAAGGGAATTAGAGGAAATATTTTAATATTGCTATTTGCCCTTTCTCTATAATACAAGTGTCAGAGATGAAAAGAAAAGTAGTAAAATATATATGACAACCTCCCTCCTGTCAGAGTTTGCGGCATGCCGCAGGACCCAGAGTCAAGTCCCCGCCCAACCGTGTGCGCCTCAAAATTGTGCGAGACCCAGACCCAGCCGGCCCCACCCCCGTCAAGCCCCGCTGGGCGGGGGGCGCAGCCTCTGGTCTCCCGTCAAGCCCCACTGGGCAGGGGGGTGCAGCCTCAGGTCCCCCAGCCCCAGTGTGAGGGCACGATGAACATTTGCATATTAGCTCTTTATTATATAGGATAGCAGAAGAATTGCATGCTGTAACAAGGTACAGGAGAGCCTTGAGGGGTGAAGGGAGCTGTATTTATTGGCAAGGAGTGCAAAAAGGGGGAACTTCAGCTAAAGTCTACGCAATAAGTTCACTAGCTGGAGAATGGGGAGGGTGTTCTGGCAGATATTCATTGGTTTTGGTCTTCTGTAAATCAGGCATTTACAGGAAATCAGTCTCTTGGTTCTGAAGTTCACACATGCATGAGATTCTCCATTTCAAATCCTCCTGTTCCATTTTAGATTGAAATCCTTTCACAGTTCTCTTTGGTGCACTATACAAGACACACTGAAAAA